TAGGGAGCAGGTGAGATCAGGAAAATGAGTCATTAGTCATCACCTAACTGAAAGATAATTCCTATCTAGCTCTGATGTTGAGGGCATAGTGTTCCACAAACATAGATGGTTGCAACCAGATGGCACCTCTTCACAGGTCCAATATAGGCACACAATTGGCAAAAGTTGTGAAAGCGGCCATTGCAGCAGGGGAACATGCTGCAGCTCAAATTCTATCCATGAGACAGTCCATTTACTGAAGCACTGAGAATAAATTTTCCACCATCTCTGTGAACCACCATACTAAACAGTCAAGGTGCTTTCAGAAGGCAGTAGTTCTATCTCCACACAACAGAAATTCTCTGTGAAAATCTAGAAAATGCAATGCCCATTGTCCATCCTAAGATAGACTAGAAGAAGAAAATCCCGAGTAAGGTTAAAAGCAGACACAACTTTAGGAAGAAAGGTAACTTCAGGACAAAGGTAGATTCAGGTGGGTAGCTGTGTTGGTCTGAAGCAGCAGAACAAAGTTTGAGTCCAGTGGCAAAGTTGAATCCGGTTTTATTCAAGGTATAAGCTTTCATGTACCTTGAATAAAACTTTGTTGGTCTTAAAGGTGCCACTGGTCTCAAACTTTGTTCTTCAGGACAAAGGATCACCTTGTTCCTAGGGAAAATGAGGTACAGAAAATTAGCCTTAAGGACGCTTAACCCACTAGCTCTCCAGGCAGATGTTATTTATTTATTTAGAAAATGGATATGCCACCTCTTCAGAGACCTGCTGTTGTTATGGCAACAAGGAATGCAATCTTTAAAAACTGATCTAAATGTCTCCAAAGGCAGAAAGGATGCTTCATGAGAGAGGACAGGATTAGCTGCAGATCCCAAGCTGGGACATGCGAAAGGAGAGGCGGGTTGGACCACACCACACCCTTAAGAAAATACATTTAATTCTTGTGGAAAAGACAGTAGCCTTCAAGCAGCAGCCATTAACAAATGAAACTTCAGAGAAGATATACTGAGGGGAAAACCCGCACCTAATCACGCCCCCCAATTAAAACTACATCCGTGTCCTCTTTATAAAAAAGGCCCTCCTGAACTGACCTGGTCAGACAGGCCATTCTACCATGTGGGAGGCACAACAAAGAATGCTCAGGTACAGGAAGCTCTTATGCCACCCTGATGGCTATTCTGTACTGAATGTATTGCGCCCACAACTGACAGGCAAGAGTGCAAAGAGTCTCAGAATCCGTGCCCTTTTGCTCATTGATCTAATAATATATGGCTTTTGTCAGTCACTGTTCAGACTGGCTTGCCATGTAGTAGGTGATGAAAAGCCTGTAGAGTTTTGAAAACAGAAGAGCTCCAGAATGGGCCTTGGGTCACAATGACCATACGGTTGCGCCAAAGGACATCCCATCCCCATGCTGTGTTCAAGGTAATGGTGTCTGAGGGAGACAGTGGCCTGAAGAGTCCTCTTTTGAGGAGCTCCCTGCTTTTAGCCTCAGCGAAAGAAAGAAAGCACCCACAGGGAAATGTAACATATCTTGACCAAAGTTGGAGGACCGGGCAGGGAGCCTAGTGTGGATACCAGAACAGAAGAGGAAATCCGCTCTCTATGGACATTCTGCTTCTGCTTCTTAAGGTCTACCACAGAAAAGGAAGGTGTACTATGGAAAAGGAAGGTCTACCACAGAAAAGGAAGGTTTTTGAATTACAGGGATATTTAGAGCTGATGGAATCATTCCCTGTTTAAGGAGAGATGGCTGTTTCTGAAAATGGAATCAAGGGTGGTTTTCAGGATGAGATTGATGGGAGGTGCTCTCCAATGGTGTTGAGAGGGAGTGCTTGACAAGACCTGACAGGAGAGTCGGTTGCAACCAGCTTGTTCAGTTAATTTCAAACAATGGGGAGAATTAACCTGATGTCCTTCTCCCAAACACAGCAGACACTTGATGTGACTGTCAGTAGTATACAACCTGCACCCACAGGAGATGCAGCACTTAAAGGTAGTCTTCTGTGTCATAAAAGGGGTGAAAAGAGAGGTGGGAGGGAGGAAGAGAGGAAAACCCTGCCAGTCTCCCATGTCCCACAGGGAAGAAAGGTCTTGGGACAGAAAAAAAGAAAAAAGTCCAAAAGCAGATTTCCCTCTCTACTTTTTTTTTGTATGAAAAATAGGTAAGCTAATGAGGTAAGAGAAAGAGAAGTTCCTTAAAATGTCTCCACTGCGGCAAAGAACTTATCAGAAAATGTGGCTCTATTTTCTATTTTGGTGTAGTGACTAAGAGTGGCAGACTCTAATCTGGAGAACCAGGTTTGATTCCCCATTCCTCCACATGAAGTCTGCTGGGTGACCTTGGGCCAGTCACAGTTCTCTCAGAGCAGTTCTCTCAGAGCAGTTCTCTCAAGAGCAGTTCTCTCAGAGCTCTCTCAGCCCCACCTACCTCACAGGGTGTCTGTTGTGGGGGGAGGAAGGGAAGGAGATTGTAAGCTGCTCTGAGACTCCTCCTCTTCTTCTTCATCTTCTTCATCTTCCTCTTCTTCAAACATGCCTGTTACTATCTGGTGCTAGTGGGTGGAGCCAGTGCTGAAAAATCCAGTTTGAATCTGCACATGCTCCCATCAGTGTAATGCACAGAGACCATGAAGACGAACTATGGAATACAGTCAATGCATGCAATGCAATCATAACAGCCTGTTCTAAGGGGGAAATCTGTGTTGTTGTTTTTTTGGGGGGGATGAGATTTGCACTGGAGATGAGGTGAGGGCAGCGCTGGAGTACTTAACCCTTCTCCCATGCAGATGCATCCAAGCTGCTTTTGCCACCGGCTGATGATCTGTGCATAGTCTTTGCGGCAGGATAAGGTAGTCATCTAGTTGCTGGGCAATGGGGCAGAGCTGGGAAGAAGCCAGGAGTAAGGGAGAAAGAGGATGCTGCCCAACCCCATACCTTTGATGGCTGATGTTCCAGGTCCTTTGTGGGGAAGGGAATCGATGGCAATTGCCTCTGTCCTTCCCTTCAGTGATGGGAAGATGGCACAAGGGGGTGGGGCAGCTGCCTTCTTTTGCTAGCATCCCAATAACTCCTGCAGAGTTGTGCTCTCTGGGAGAGTAAAGCTCAGCAGATGCTTGCATTCAAAGGGGAAGAAAGCCAAAGAAGAGGCGTGTGGCACCTGAAAGGGTCATTTTTTCTCATATTCATTATTTTTAAAAAATTGTTTTCTTTTCCAAATGTAGGGTCTGGTTTAATTTTTTTTTTCTGAAGAAGAAGGAAGCATATGATGAGGGAGAAGTGTTGTGGGGGGGAAATTACCCCCAAGTTGCTTTTGCTTTCTTCAGGAAGAAACAACACCTCACTTGTTTCCCTCCTCCCTCGTACCTTCTTCTCCTAGAAAAAGCTGTATCTGGAAAAGGAAAATAAGACTAACCTAAAACGAGAGGGGAAGTAATGGAACTGAATGTTCACTACTCCTTCCTTCCCATTTCTCTGTCCCATAACAGCCCTCAGCAGCCAGTCATTGTTGTCTGAGGCCACGGACTCTTGACATAGAATCCTGGACTTTCAGCAGCACTCACACAATCCAAGGTGTGTCTACTCAGAAGCAAATCCCACTATGCTACTTACTTACTCACAGGTAAGTGTGCATAGAATTTCACCCAATGGTTACTTTGTCAATTATTTTGTTCATTATGCTGTGAATCTGCTACCCGGGTTGCAACAATCTTCTTTAGTTTAAAAGATTGTTGCAACCCAGGTAGCAGATTCACAGCATAATGAACAAAATAATCCACAAAGTAACCATCTTCTTTAGTTTAAAAGATGAACATTTGCCTGCCAGAAGATTTAAACAAAGCTCTTCAGACAACTCTTCTTAACTTTCGTTAATAAATCCAGAGAAAATGGAAAGTGTTAATTTTTGCATGGGGTAGGCATACAGAGGGGATTTAAATAAAAAACCCAGTATCATGTTGCGCTGAATGTTTTGTGCAACAGATATGAGCGAGGTGTAGTGAATGATATTGAAATTATGGAAAAGAAAATAAGCATGAAAATAACCTAGTAGGTAGATTGAGTTAAATACTGACAAATTTACTACAGCATAAATTAATGGAAATTTGGGGTGGGAGAGAGGAAGAACCTTCTCTTTAAAGTACCACAAGGTTTTGCTTTTGATGAAGCAGGCCAACCTATCTATCCCACTTGAATTTGAATTCCTCGGGGTGGGGGTGTTACCTTTAGTAAAGAGGGGGTCATTCATCTGTGGGCAGCCCAAGGGGACTCTATGGAATCCTGAGAGAGGGGAGGCTCTGGCTGTTCTGGAATTCCTACCAGTGTCACAAACGCTTCCAGTTGCCTCCTTGGTCAATGGTTTATTTTAATTTTTTTTAAAAAAACACACAACCATCTTTCCCATAATGGCTTAAATTGGCCTACTAACATATTCACACAGAGCATATAAACACACATCAAAATAAAAAATCTAAACAAAAAACGACAACTAATATTGTGGAGGGATTGAACTCTACAGCTGGGTAACAGAAAACAGTAGTTGCAGTAGAAAATATTAGCTGGTTACCAAGCCCTACCAGAATTTGTTAACCTTCGATCCAAACATTTACAGCAACATGGAAAGAACTCACAGGGAAGCAGTCACCATGTTGCTGCCTACAAATCTTATATAATACTTGGACAGACAAGCAGGGTCGCTAATATCAGTACTAGACTATTAAGAGCTACAAGAACCAAGAAAAGGACATGATTTTCATTCACCCCAATAGTTCCATTCCCAAACTTAAGTAATTAAAAATAAAGTTAACTGCACAATCTAGTAGTTTCTTCAAACTTTGAATTTTTAAAAAGACTTATTACTTTTGAACTTTAAAAAGGTCTTATATTCTTAGCATGCAAACAAAAAATATAAGGTATTTATAGAGCATCGGTTCTAGTATTTTACTGATTCATGTGTGTATGAGTCCTCCTGTACCCGAAAACTCCAGTTGTATCAAAGGAGGTTTCCTTACTTTACTGGCTCCCACGACTCCCGCTCAAAGCCCCTGTGAATTGATTGTGCAATTGAGGATTCCATGAGATCCACATATCTAACAACAAGCGGAGCAAACAGGTCTTGAAGATGTTTGTGGTATTTTCCATTGCATAAATTATCTAGGATAAATAAATACAAGTATAAGAAATTTCTTACAGCAATTAATTGTTGAATTTATTGCACAGCATATATTTTGAGCATAACGTGGTTGAACAATACAACTCAAATAGCAGAAGTCCTGCAAGATAATAGATTAGTTTCATCAAACCACAGACTTTCACTGAATTTCAATCGACTTCAATGGATTATGATAAAGTACTTGCAGGACTGATTGTTTTCACTGAAACGAGCAAACGATACCATTCTCTTTAGTTTCAACATGTAATTTTATGTGTAAAATATCTTAAAAATTGCACCTCCATAAGCACTAAAAATTCTATGTTTTGATATTTGTCATCTTTTTGAATCTTGGGAAGGGGTTGTATCTCAGTGGTAGAGCATTTGCTTGGCATGATGAAGGTCCCAGGTTCAGTCACCTGGATTTTAGTAGGTGATGTGAAAGACCTTCACCTGAGATGCTGGAGAGCCACTGCCAGTCTGAATACACAATATTGACCTTGATGGACCGGTGGTCTGATTCACTATAAGGCAGCTTCATGTGTTCAAGATCTTAGGCTGCATTTGCACTACAAATGAACATTGGTTCAGAATGTTTGAATCATGAAGCCTCTTGAAGTTTGGTGCGAGTGTGGAAACCGTCAGAGAATCCTACCATCACTTTCATAGAACTATAGATTTTTTGTAGGGAAGCTGTAATGTTTAAACTGGTTTATGTTTGTGGCACATAAATGCCCTTAAGCAGAACATGGTTCTTTTTGCACAGGTCACCCAAAATTCATCATGAAGTTCACAGGATATGGTGGCTCACATTTTTCATGTTTAGAGTTCACCTATTAATCCCATTTTAACACCAGTCCCATTTATATATCTTTGCAACACTGTGTTCAGTAATCTCTAGCTGCCATCTGATGACACCAGGTTCCCACAATCCAGATAGTCTTGATCCCTAAGCTGGGAATCACTGAATGGAATCAGAGGGATTTTTGACAGAAGTTGGAAGAAAGATGTGAAGAGCACATTATTGCTATAATCTAGCAAAGGCATATGTACATGAAAAGCACAATTTCATGCTGATCCAGAGGCTTCTTTGAAGATTCTATTGTGTCTGAAGTAGGGATCAGCCAGAAGTGGGGAGAGAGAAGGATGACACAAACAAACTGGACTGGGAAAAATCAGACCACAATTTCATTGATTACGGATTCCTCAAGGCTTGGTGCAGCATAGGCGGGGTACAATGGGGTACAGATGACAGCTTGAATGCTGACAGCAAGTCCCTTAGCTTGCCCTCAACTAACCTAGCAAGGAAAGCTAGTTTTAGGGCTTCTGAAGGGGGCTTCAAGAACCTCATTCTCAGACCCCCTTCAGAAGACCTTCTTTTAGGGTCATGGAGGATACTCTGCACACATTGTCCTATGCTCCCCAGCCAATGCCTTAATGTCAGTAGCCAGCTGTGAAAGCTATGTTCATTTAATAGTACAATCATACATACAGAGAACACACACATTTGCTATAGGGAAGGCAAAACCCCCAAGGATCGTGGATGAATTATTTCCTAGCCATGCAGACCAGTGGCCACTGTGGACACAGCAATTAAAATATGAAATGATGAGGTGGGGGGTGGCTTTTGCTGACAGAGGGCTCTGGATGCCCAGCCTGTTTGCAGCCCCCTCCTTTTAAACATCCAGGGCAGACCAAATTGTAGTCCGGTAGCCCTACCACACACTAGGATTGTTATGAGGAATGGAAATTCGTTTTTTTGAAATTCACTTTTTTTTAAAAAGCCCAATGATTCCCTCTCATACTCCTTTTTTCTCTTTTAAAACAGAGATTTCTCTTTAATTTCTCTTTGAAGAAAAATCAACATGACCTTTTGTAACCCTTGCAGTGGTTTTATGTTACACACCACAAGGTGGTGCTCTAGAAGGAGGACAGGAAGATGTGGGAAAAGACATTGCCCACCTCTGAGCATCTACAGAGTGACATAATGAAATTCTGCAGAACTTCCCCTTCCTGCCCCTCCTCTCTTCAAACTGATCTGATTAAAATGGAACTGATTAGAAAAAGACTCTGAATTTCTAATAAGAGGAAAAGAAATGGATTGTTGGCTTTCAGGGAGAAACCAGGTAAAGGGGAATTAAGAGAATTTCTCTTTACAACCCTACCTGGTATGCCATACAGCTGGTGTAAAGGGGTGGGGCCACAGAAAGCAGATGACAACCCATGCAGGGTAGAATTGCCCAGTCCCCTGCTCCCTCTCTCTCCCCCAGGCACAACGGGTACTCCAGCCTAAAGCTAGGAGCTGAGCCTATGACTGTTCATATTGACAGAGAAGTGAACAGCTTCTCAGTTTAAAACACAGCTAGCTTCTCTAGCAGAAACTTTAAAGAAGCCCAATCTGCCCCCCTAATCCATTTGCACTAATGCTATTTTAAGGAAACCTCCAAAGTAAAACAGAAGTGTAAAGTCTGCAGTGCAGTTCTAAACAGAGTTAAGACCTTCTAAGTGCATTGAAGCCAATGGGCTTAGAAGGGTATAACTCTGCTTAAGATGGTGATGTTAGAGTATTTCCAGAGGAACAATCTTGTTTCTTGCTTGCTTGGTTTCTGAGGCAGCTGTATCACTGGCTTACCTTTAACAATATACAGTAAATAGAAGCTGGCAAAAATTTTTTGAGAGTTTTAGGAGTCTTTAGGGATTTGTTTACACCATTTTCCTCTACAAGTCTGATTTCAAAAAGAACAAGAAAATTTGGTTTATGCATAGCTTCCCCTTGAAACTCTTTTAATTTTCATGTTAGCTATGCAAAAGACTCTGATCCAAAAATAGAACTGCTGACACCCACTACTTCATTTAACTCCTCGAAAGACCATATTCCATTCTATAACATGCTGTAAGAATTATTATTAATAATGGAACTGTTTTTCTGCAAAGCACGCTTCTCCCCTAGTATGGCTTTGGACACCACCAACAAACATGATCACATTCCCCCCCCCCATAGCTGGCTTGCACAGTTTGTTTAATAATGTCAAAGGGCACCTTGTGTGGAAATGCAACACAAGTATTGTTACCTGCAAGATCTTTTGGGACATTACTAGCATGATCACCAGCAGACTGCAGCAGGGGCTGCACAATAAGTTGGAGCTGCTCAATTATATGTTGTTTTCCAAATAGCATTAGGAAGGGTTGACACTGTATTAGTTAAGGTACAAGGCAGTTTCCTGAATCTAAATAAATAATAATGCTGTTTTTTCAAATGTAGTGGGAAAGTTAAAACGATTGTTGAAGGATGCTTTCCAGTGCTACTGATCCCCCACAGGGATCTGGGAAACCATGAAAAAGATTGTGATTAAAGCAACAGTTTTCAGCTACCAAGAAACACAACATTTACATGGTCAAAATGCTATACATACAGTCGTTACGGAGGGAATCATTGAGTAGCTGAAATAGTGGAAAGCTGTCCCAGGTATCTGGGGGCTGGACTTCTAGTGCAGCATCCATATCCACCGCAAACAAAGAGAGGAAAGTTTCTGCATGTTCAACCATTAAGTCTGACCACCAAGCAAAGGCCTTTAAATGTAAAGGGGGGGGGGAGTGAGAAAGGGATTAGTGTTATCCAAAATCCCATTAAATTAATTTCTGTATTTAATAGGCATAAGAAAATAACTCATGTGCATCCTACAGAAAACTAGCTTTATTGTAAAGAGAACAGCAGTGAAAAAGGCTAGCATACTGTGTTATGTCATCCCAACTACAATCCTTAAGCACCTGCCACTTTTAGGCAGGATTTCCTCGAGTGTGGAATCAGAACTGTACTGATCTTCTACATATCTGTAATACAACAGAGGAGGTATGTCTGTTCAGTTTACAATAACCCACATCATTCATTTTGGATCATGCTATTTAGTAGAGGGGTAAACTAGTTCTTTGTCTATAGAATGTCTGGGAGTTTCTTCACTGTGTTTGTGGGTTTTCTGTTTTTCTTTCCCAAAATGCTTTCAGAGGTTCAGGAGGATTCATAATTACGACATGCAGCTTGCAATGGCGCAGGAATGTAGTAGCCCTAAAATATCCCACGTTAAAATTCAAAGACAATGACAGGGCAAAAAATAATCTATAACATCTTTATTTTACAAATCTAGGTAGTAAATTTAAGCTGGTTTGCACCATTACATTAGAAAGCAACCGAGCTTTAATCAATTTTCAAATAATGCTATTAAAAATCCATCCACAATCAAGCCTGAACTTGACTATGGCAGGAAATAAACCTAGAGTTGAAAACCCAAGAAATATCAGTGAAGTAACTCATTGTCATGCGCATGGGTCCTCAGGAATTCACTGTGCAGCTTCTCTGAAGTGACATTCACATCATTCATGACTCAGATGTGAATGTGTTTGGAACACATGCACGCGTGTTTAAAATCACTTCTGGCTTAAAAACATGCAGTATGAGTGGTGCTGTCAACAGAACCTGGTGTGTTAATTGTTAGGCAACATGAATACTACTCAGTAGGTGAGTGTTTATGCACGCTAAGAAACAATCTAGTATTTCTGAGTAGAGGGAGTAAGAAATTTGAAAAGAAAGGTGGAGGAGACTAAATTTAAAAAAGGATCATTATGTTCATTATGTTTGACAATTAAAAATGATTATTACGTTAATTATGAAGCTATCTTTATCAATAGAGGGAAATTGACAATTCAAATTTATGAGTGGATTACATTTTTTTTTAGATTCCATTCTTTCCCTTATTAAAGTTTTGGCATGGATATTAATAGAAAAGTAGCTAATAAAAACAACATTAGTAGTATATATGTGTTGTTTATAAAATGTTAAATAAGAAAAGAAAGTGTCAAATAAAAAAACACATTAACCTACATTAAATAATTCACTAAATGCAAACTATACTACCAATTTTTGTTAACTAGACCTATTTTCTACCCTACAGGCCAGGGGTCCCCAACCTTTTTGAGCCTGCAGGCGCATTTGGAGTTCTGAGACAGGGTGTCGGGTGCAACTACAAAATGGCTGCTTGAGGAGGCAGGGTCAGCTACAAAATGTCATGGAGCAAGGTTACTCTAATAGTAAATCTCCAACGTTTCAGGCAGAAGTTCTGTTTAACAGAATACCTTCAAAAATGCACTTTTATAAAAGTAGTTTTTTAATATATACTCAGCTCACCATCAGTCATGCCGGGAAGGTACTTGTGTTGTGGTGGCAGCTGCTGCCAAAGCCAAGTTTTTAGAATTCTGCACAACCAATCAGATCTGCAGTGGCCAATCAGAAGCCCTGCAGCACAAAAGCTCAATTGGACCTTGCCCACTATCTAAAAATACTTGGAGAATGCCAGGAAAGGTATTGGCGGGTGCCATGGCACCCATGGGTACCATGTTGGGAACCCCTACTAAAAGCATGCCATCAGCAAGCAGTGCATTATACTTCAGGATGCTATGTGTTTGTAAAGGGATGGCATCATACTTTGCAGGACAGGCAGAATGAAATACTTGATGTATTGATTCAGGCACAGACAACAAAGAAAGAATATGTAAACCCTGCTCCAAAACGATACCTTATTTGTTTAGGTACTGCTTTCTGTCCTGATTTACACAAGGGTAAGCTAAACCAGGAATTTAGGAAGCTCCTACACAAACACCTGGTGCATATTTCTCACCTTACTATTTTTTTATTTTATAAAACAGTGAATCATGATTTGCCCTATATCAAGATTAAAAAGTAAAATCAATTCAAAAGAGTTGTTCCTATGGTGAGCACTGCAGTCCAGAAAATTTATTTATTTTTCCTGGCAAATGTTTGAAAGAAACACTATTATATTTGAAGTTTTCTCCTGTGTCTTTTTGCGTTAGGTGATTATTTATTTATAGTCTGCCTTTCTTTCAGAGACTCAAGGCAGAGTACAAAAATCTGTTTTTCTTAACTTTGGGGTTGTTGGGTTTTTTTAGTGTAAATTAAGTTGAATAAGTTGGGTCAGGGGAGATGTAATCCTGTCTCTACATGATAAATAAATACAGTCCTTGGGTTGGGGAGCAGCAAAATATTATTTTCTCCAAGTGCCTACATAATTATTACAGAATTCTGCAATTAAAAGCCTGTTCAGAAAAAAGAAGCATGGTCATTTTTGAAGCAAAAAACCTCTTCATTCTGTAAGTAGCACTCAATTAACAGCTCAGGGAGCCTGTTCATAGCCAGAGCCATCATCTGGTATTCATAGTATGCCATTCCTTTCTCAAAGTGGGAAAAGTAACATGGCTTTCCTCAACAATGCCTTTCAACAGAACGAAGTTTCAATGCCATCTACTTACCTTTTCTGTTATAAGCCTGAAAGCAAAGTATCCTCACTAACCACCATACCTATAATTATTTACCTTACTCATGGAACACATGTATATATGTATGTCTTTAAGGATGTAAAATACATATATACCAATTCATACATACATACACACAAATATATATATGGAGAGAGAACTTCAAGACTTAAAATTCACGATACTAGTATCTTATATTAGTGCTTTATACAAACTCCCTACTACTTAGTTTTGCAGTGGGGGAAAAAAGTTTGAGAAACATGAGATAAGTGGCATGGACTTAAAAACTGTTTACACAGACGTAAACCAGGTTATAAAACAGAACTTTTGGAGTGCTTAAGAACTTGTTCATGCTGTGATACTTTAAATCCTCCACTTCTGAACAGCAGATCCCCATTGCATATTTATTCATTGAATTTCTATCATACCTTTTGATGACGAAGTCCTAACAGAGAATCTCAACATTTTAAAAATACAACAATAAATTGCCTTTAAATATCTTCTTGTTTTCAAAAACAATTTGCCATGACATCAGAGGCTGCCAAACAAAGTCCCTTCACATGGAGCTCATTGGATGTACTTTTCTGGATTCTGGCCATATTAATAAAGATCAGCATCTTTTGTTGTTCTATTGGTTTTGTTTGTTTATTATTGTTAAATCCAGGGGGCGAGAGAGTCGGTAGCAGTGTTAATTTGCTATAGCCAAAGTGAAAACTCTTGTGACATCTTAAAGACTAATGCATTTACTGAACTATATGCTTTCATGAGCCAGCTCCCACTTTATCTGATGCATGAAAAGAGGTGACAGAATGGCATCTTTGGGCATCTGATGAAGTGGGATCTGACTCATGAAAGGTTACATCATCATCAATTCATTTGTTGTCACAACAAGACGGTTATTTTTACTATTAAACTAAAACCCAACTCTGAACTAACTTAAGATGAACACTTTTTATTTATTTATTTATTTATTTATTCTTGGGATTTATATCCCGCCCTACCCATACGGCCCAGGGCGGCTAACAGCGGCCAAGCCGAAACAAAACATAAAATACATTAAAACTTCAATAAATACAAGCTAAAATGGTGCTCTACAGTACATGATAAGGTTCATTTAAAGTTCATTTTAAAATCCAAGATGGTCGATGACTCTCATTGGCGGCCGATGGAATAAATGCCGGAGCGCCGGGATGATGTTCCTCCTCAGGCAACATTTTACCCCCATCCAAGGCCAGGCAGGTGGTAAGTCCGCCACAATGATGGTATAGTGGCGGCAGCGGCGGCGGCTCCTACTCGAAAGCCTGGCGGAAGAGCTCCGTCTTACAGGCCCTGCGGAACTGCACTAGGTCCCCCAGGGCCCTGATCTCCACCGGGGGCTCGTTCCACCCGGTAGGAGCCGCCACCGAGAAAGCCCTGGCCTTGGTTAGGGCAAACTTGATGTCCCGGGGGCCTGGAACCTCAAGGAGGTCCAGACTCCCAGATCGCAGCGCTCTTGGGGGAATATGCGGGAACACTTGTTTCCCCCGGTAACACTTGTTCAGACCCTGTGAATTCTAGATAATTTCAGTCAGCTGTTTGGCTTAATGGATTGTTCGTAAGTGAACTTCAGGTGACCTGAAAACTACCTATGAAGACTTACAAAGGATAAAAGACCCACCCTTCAAAACCTAAGGAGAACTTTTCACATGGTCCATAACCAGATCTTGATGAAATTGCGGGGGAAAGTCACACTTTTAGATACACATGGAAAACATAGGGTCAGCCATTTTCCTGGCCACTAACCACTTGTACTCAACTGCTACTTTGTCCCATGCTTACTTTACACATTAGTTTTGATGGATAAAATGTGAAATGGGTCTTTCTTCTCTAATAAACTACCTCCTCCCCCAAAATAAGGTTACAGCTTTTAAGCGGTGATCTATATATTGCCTAAGCAGCATGGTTGCTCTATAGTCTGTTCCCACTTTACTTGGGTAATGTTAGACCATAAGCTACACATGAAAAGAGATTTCAATATGGTAATTTCCCTTTCTGGCATTGTCCTATGTGGCAGCTCCCACATAGGGGGCACTGGTCATATCTAGGCTCTGGGCAATTCCTGAGATAAGCAACATAGTTAAAACCACCACAGTATCCTCCTGCATTTTCAACAAAATTATCTTTCTATGAATGCTGCTAGAATGATTAAGTCCTTAAGCAAACCTAAATCAGAAATCATATTTCTGTTTCTGTTACATATTTCTATTTCTGTTTACCTGTGCTTTAGAGTCATAGCCACTTGCCTTCAGGTTTCATTACCATTGAATAATAATAAATTTCTGAGTCTTGAAAAGATAGATGATAGATAGATAGATAGATAGATAGATAGATAGATAGATAGATAGATAGATAGATAGATAGATACTGAAGTGGGAAACAACATTATTTTCCTCAGACAAACCACAGCTCACAATATACCCTTTCTGAATTGCTCATAGCTTCCTTAAATCACATGAAAATAGATGTTGCTTCACTCCTCAATAATGGATAATTTCTCTCCATATATAAATATTGTATATTCCAGAACAATACACACAATGAACAAAATTATAGGAAGGCTACTGTTACTTTCTAATCATTTTTGTTATTTGTTTCTATTACCAGCAGGGTGAACTAGAGATCAGGCATATGCTGAGCCACAGAGGTAAACAACAGGCTGAGGGAGGAGTCCAGGCAGGTAGGACAAGTGCTGGGATGTAACTGCAGCGCTTGTAAAAATATACCCATTGCTACATGCGCGGGCTGGAGAATTTCCTCCACATTGACCCTGTCATGTAGGGCTACAGTTCCACAAGCAGTTCCATCTGAAGTTGCTGTTACATTCCTTGGATCAAAAGTTACAAAGCAAGGATGACCCAGGTAAGATCCCATCAGGAAACATGGCACCGAGAGGGCATGCACGGAATATGACAGGAGGTGACTTTGTTTCATTCAGTTTAGTCACATACCTCTTTCCCCTGCCAGGATCATCCAAGATTGAATGAACAGTAGAAAAACAGGGAGGAAATTTAAATATGCAATCAGGCATTAGTTGGGAATTTGTGGATTGCTGAGCCCTAGAAATAAATTAGTTTTTACTCTGATTTTATTAGACATCGGATGTAAGTTATTTTTAATTTTTTTTTAAACTGGTGAAATCATTTATTTTAAACTGCATTTAATCAATATAGACATGTCAATGAGAAGGCACGCAGAAAATAGGGAATTAATGTTAACATTTAAAAGTTATAAACAAAGGATGGTTTTATCTGAATTTTAAAAGGATCATTTATTAAAAAAAAAAAAGGTTATCACAAACCACTGCATTTTCAGAAAACACTGGGTATGACGTTACATACTCCCAAGCTGCAACTAAACTCCACGAATGGGCCCCTGTAATCCTGATCCCATGTAATGCCAAATGCATGTAAACTGCTGAGTGGTCCTAATGTCATCTGTTCATTAACCAAAGTGCTTATATCCTAACAAGACTCTGAGCCGGCTACCTTTGCCTTCACTAGCAGTGCGTATGCAGGCAGTGTCAATGGTGATGTGTACTTTGCAACCAAAAAGTGGTTTACACACTAGAAGGTTACTTCTCTGAGCTGCATAACAGCCCTTGCAGGGCACAGCAGCAGAGGAAAGAGCAAGACACAGCCATAACAATGGTCGCAACGATACATGGGAAGATACCAGCTGTGCCCTTGCACTAGGCCCTGCCAACTGATCCTATGAGCCGTACTCATAAGAAAACTACTTCCTTTTTTAAGACTGGAATTAAACCAATTGCTCCTTCGCTGGGATGTAGGCTGGCTATAAACAAAATCATACTAGTCCTGTCTAAGCTTTCTGTCTGGCACCGCTAATATTCTTGTGCCCTTTTAATGTATACTTAAGATCCAGAAACAGGTAGACGTCTACAGAAAACCTCATGGAATCTGGGAAGCTGTCAGCTCAAACAGTTTTATTTCATTATTATTGAGTTCAAATTATAACTATATATAGATATATAGATATAGATATATAACATGGCTTTTGCAAAAGAATATTTTTTAACCCACACTTTAAATTGAAGACATTTTATGTTGCAGTTAGTCAACTGTTTAAAAAAAAATATGGCCAAATTCTTCTGTTAGTCATGAATACATGAACTGTTAACTGAAAAAAGATTCATGAAAGAATACTCATGGAGGACCCCCCACCAAAACCCCACTGTGTTGAACTGCAGAATGGATGTGGCTTTTGCAAGAAATACCCATAAAACAAGAGAATTCAAGAATCCTGGCTGTAGAAGTATCCTAAGGATTCTCGTGGATTTTGCATTCTGACACAAGATTCTTCACAGTAGTTCCTTTATATGTAATCATCTATGGAATGTATGGTGGAATAATTCCTAAGAACAGACTCTGGACATGAAATGGTAGAACCTACCATACATTGTTTTAGTTTTAGCTCAGTCTAATCTTGCTTACATGTAATGCACAGTGGTACTTAGCAGCTTGTGGAGAGTTACATTTGCTATTACCATCAACCCAACAGCCACATTTACTTCTATCCTTGGCATGAGGTCTGTACCTCAGGGAGGCTCACAGCTTCCCTGTTCTTCCAGCAGTGAATCTTTCGAGGTGGGAACCCCCTGCCAACCACAAGCCCCTCCGGGCAAAGGCCTTGCCTACTTTCCTGAAACATAGGGCAGGTGCTACTTTGGGCAAAGCTGCTCAAAAGAGCCACAGGTGGCATGTCAAAGAGCCACAGGTGGCTCCCGAGCCACTGAGTATCTCTGGTCTATATTATGTTTAGTACTTTAATAATGCTTTTAAAGACCTCTCTCTGCAATATTATTTTAGTCATATGCTAACTTTATTTGGGGAGACTGATTGATTTTACTTTGCTCCACGTTCACCCTATGGTATAAAGAACTAGTAGCGTAATAGACATAGTGGTACCATAGATCCCAGCTTAGAAACCGTTTTAGACCATTACTGCTCACCTCTGCATGGTGTTCTTCATTCTGCTGTAGAACTTCAATAACCAATTCTGCCAGGCGAATTGTATCTTCTAGCTTTTTGGCAGGTGTGACTAACCGACCTACATTTTCTGTAGTACAAGAACTTGAATTAAAATGGAGTGAAACAGGATAAACTCAATGTAAGGCCAACAGATTAGGTGATTTAAAAAAAAATAAAAAATAAAACCCAGAATAATTAATAATAGAAATTTAAAAATCTACATCATGCAAGGATTAAAGTGCTGTGTAGTTAGTATTGAGCAAACCATAAAGCCACGTTTGTTGTTATATTATGGAAACAGTGCTCCAGCTTAGAATTCAAGTATGCAGTACAAATTGTTTTACTTTGCACTGATATGATTGCAATTAAGTTGCTGAAACGAGAAATTTACATTTCCTAGAGACAGCACCTTGATGTAACAACTGCACAGAGAACATTGTGTTTCACAATTTATGCAGGTATAAGCTCCAAATCAGTGATGTCAGAGTACTAGATTGAGACTAATTCACCTTTGTTTATGCCATCTTAAATCTATGTTATCAAGAGTGGTAGGGCTGGTCATATGTTACGAGTGGTGTAGGAAGCAGCTTTTCCCTAAAAGGGCAAAAAATGTTTTACTTTGCACTGATATGATTGCAATTAAGTTGCGGAAATGAAAAATGTACATTTCCTAGAGTCGGTATCTTGGTGTAATAACAGAGAACACTATGTTTCACAATTTATGCAGATATATGAGCTCCAAATCAGTGGTATCAGGGTACTAGATTGAGACTAATTCACCTTGGTTTATACTATCTATGTTATCAAGAGCAGTTAGTAGGTTGGTCATATGTTCTGAGTGGTATAGGAAGCATCTTCTCCCTAAAAGGGCAAAAACCACTCTTAGTACAGGAATAACCATGCAATGTGTAAATTTGTGGCCTGGTCTTGAGTATTTCTGCAGTTACTAGTACAGGCAATATAAAATGGAACTGCCTCCTAATGTAACTTGTACTACCCCTTAGTGTGTACCAGGATTCTCAAACAGTACTAAACGAGCCTTTTGTACTCAGCCTGCAAAATTCAAATGTGTGTGTGTGTGTATATATGTATATATGTATATATGTGTATATATGTGTGTATGTATAAATCCCCCTTAAAATAGTATTTAGGGTTGCTAACCTTCAGATGGATCCTGGAGATCTTCGGAAGATACAACTAATTCGGAGGGTGGACTCTATGACATTATACCCCACTAGGGTTGCCAGACCCCCACCGGGGGCAGGGAATGTGATGATGTCACTTTTGGGTGATTTCATCATACAGCATGTGGTTCATACGCACAGCAGAAGATCCCGGAGAGGACCAGTGATCTCCCTACTTGCTGCCAGGTAGGAACTGGAAACCCTATATCCCACTGAAGTCTTTCTTATTTTAAAATCCCACCATCCCCAGGCTCTGCACCCAAATCTCCAGGAATTTCCCAACTCAGAGTTGGCAACCCTAATCCCATTCCCCTTCTCATCTGCTCATGCTCCCTTCTCACACCTCCTGGAGTGTAGGAATAGGCCTGATGGCCATTTTCAGCAGCTCCTGGCCTGGCATATACTTCCTTCTTGAGATTTTTGATAACATAGTGCGCATGCAACTTGCAGGTTGTTTTATTAAAAGACCAGTGCTTGCCCATGGAACAGGCACTGGCATTTGTCTGCCCCCCTTCTTCTTGGATAAAGCACGGGGGGGGGCAAACCAATCATGGCTCAGCACAGAAGTGCTGGCCAATCAAGGGCGAGCTCGCCAGCCAGGTCTGGTGGTAGCTGTCCTCCAAGGGTAGATTGGCTCAGTGCAGGCTCCCCACCCACCTGGCCTCTTTTTGGACCATGTGGGATTAGCTGGTCGCTATTTTTGGGGTTGAGCAGGAATTTTATGGGCCTCACTCAGATTGGCTGAGAAGGGGCCTTTATTCCCCTGCTTCACATGGTCAGAGGGTGTGTGGTTTAAGTAGGCCTGGTAAAGCTGGGTAGGCTTTAACTGGGAAGGCAGGAAAAGCATGGCTTGAGGGGATGTGGAATTGGCAAGCACCCTGAGATATCAATGATGGGGGGGTCCCCATACTGGGTACCTATGGGCTTTGCAGTCTGGGTGACTCAGTTGGGGGCCTCTTTGGGGTGGGGGAGCATATGACAAGCCTTAAGGCTTTGCATCCATGGGCTGGAATGTGACCTCCCCCCCACACACACACACTGGTGTGTGGGCTGTGAAGTGTAAGGTCTGGAAGGATCCCAGACCTGGCTCTGAACCAGGGTACGTTTGCCCTGTTACGAGGCTTGCGTTGCAAGCCCAAGGCAACCCATGCTTTAATGCATTGGTGCAGATCAGCTTATATATAAATAAAATTTATATATAAATTTTTAACCCATAAATTCTGTTATGTTTCATTCAAGGGGTGGGCAGGCAATTCTGAGAAGGCTCCTCAGTCTTTAAGAGTCGCATAGAAACAACGTTTCACAAAGACTCACTTTTCCTCTCACAATGCTGCTGCAGTACTGGCAGTGGCGTGAGTGTAATGCTCAGTACTTATAAATACAAAACCATTTCAAGCAAGTCGTGCTACTGCCCAAAATTTTCAAGGGCATAAACATTTCTGGTACCAAAAAAAGTGGATTTGGAAACTTGAGAGACCAGTAACTATTTTCATGTCCATTTGCTGCTATTCACTGCCGCTACTTGCTGTCGCTTTGCTACCAGCTTTGTTTTAAAGTGGCCTTCATGGTTGCAGCAGTGACATCATCACACTACAGCAATCAGATTTGGCTAGATGACGCTATCATTGTTCTAGGAGGAAGGCCAACTTGAAACAGAAAAACTGGTCCCAAAACTAGCAGCTGATAAAAGCACACTCTGGATCACAGCTGCAATGGCAGGTACCAGAGACAGAAGTCCCAAAAAAGAGAACACTGCATGTGTATCAATGTGGTGATGCTTGTGCAGCTTCTGCAGCCCCCCTCCCCAAAATTATTGAAGAAAGAGAACATATTTCATGGGGATATAATATCTTTGTGAAATATGCCCCACATTTTGGCTCAGCGTTACTATCAAGTTACAGTTTTTTTGAAGGTTTAATGATGTGACCAGTTTTAAAAGTATTATACTGAGGGCTATTTTGAAACAGGGCCTCTAAAAATAATTCCATCATTGTGTTGTTTCTTTTAAGTGTGTAGGCAGGGTTTGTGTCTTTTTTTTGCTATAATTACTGTACAGTGCCTACATGGTAAGTTACTTGTCCTAAACTGAAAACTCATATTCTGTATCTAAGTTCACAGGGAGTGAGGTATATGGTGACCTTTCTGGATCAGACTAAAAATAAATTAATGTACAATGGATGAATATCCATTTTGGACCTAAAGACAAAGAAGGGCAGGGCTCTTGTACCTTTAACACTTGGGTGGAAGAGGGAGTTGGTAGATGAATACCAATGGGAAAAGCTGCACCTATTGAAATTCTATCTCTAACACAAATGTTAAAGGAACAAGAACACCATCTTCCTTGGCATCTGTTCATCTTATTTGGAAATCTGGCCTGTCTAGCACTTGGTCACCATGACACATAGAAGACCAGTGACATGAAAGTTCTTCCAGCACAGAATCAGCACAAACACGGCCAATAGCCAGCCCATTTGGTAACACTTTCATGAGCCAGAAAAAAAAAATAGAGGATGTGAAAGGGATGGCTCAGAGCTGTTGGCCTGGGAATAAAAACAGTTCTCCAATTCTAGGTTCCAGATCTTGGTTCCACAGGGTCCAAAAGAACAGCAAGATCATATATCTTACAACGGGAGAAGGTTACTTTTCAAACTCATCTAAACAAGAGGCAGCCGGATCCCCAATGTTGTGTTATGCTGTCAACAGTTTGGGAAGCAGAGATAGTAATTTCAAGTGCTATGAGCTGCTTTGAAGGCTTCACATGGAAATAAGTATAGAATAGATATTCTAAATAAATGAAGTTCACAGTATTGAGATTATGTGCTCTAGTGCAGACCTGTGCCACCATTGTTGAGGCTGAGGAAGGAGGGAACAAGAGAAGTGCCAAGAGGAGAAAGGGACATAAAATGACTTCAAGAGTTCTGAGGGGTTTTGCAGGGTGCAGCAATCTGCAGCCTCTGAGCTATAGCTCTCTGTAATTGTAAACGTATGTCACATCACACTTCTGCAGAGGCTGATCTTACCTAGATTTAATAGCAAGCTCATCTGCAAGAATCTGTCTCTAGATGAAATGGAAATCTCACTGCTGAATTTTGTTTCAACAGTGTCTCTGGAGAGAATTCCTTGATATCAGTGTATCATATTTCACGCAAATAGCTGGAGCACTGATAGATCAATGAAACGATGTACTTCTTATATCATTTCATACATAATTTAAATCATACAGTGTCACATTTCCCATGCAAAATGTTATGCAACAACAATGTTATTTTGTGCTGACGTTGATATTTGAAAATGTTGCATATGTCAGACATTGCTAGACAAAAAATGTGGACATTTTGGAAACCAATGCTACTTCTAGAAGCGTTATGCTAGAAATTGTTTTTTATCAAAGGCCTACAATTGAGACTAGCTTCCTAATATCTAAACTACGTTAAAATAATAATAAAAAGAGCTAAACTAGAAAATCGTGAAATTAAAGAAAGGAATACTATTACGGTACTTGGTGTTTGATTAGGTTTGCCTTTCAGCATCTGATTTATCATTTTAGTCTGCGTTTGAGTGGATGGAGTGGGCCCAGCTGGGGGCTTGGGCACTGACGATCGAGCTGTTCATGAATGATGTAGAGAGACAGCAAAAGTAAAGACACACGTGACTTCATAAACAGTGACAAAAAATATGAAAACTTTGAACGAAAAGTAAGCAGAAATGATAAAAGTACAAATGGAATAGCTGCTGTTTTGCTTATCGTCAACTCAAGTACTACACAATTATGACAACAAACATTTTTTTCTGAAATCGACAGATTCTACTATGCTACGAGAATTCACAATCCAGGATGCTTAAAATTCAGTGTGAATGCTAATTGTTATTTCATGTAGCCAAGTGCAAAAAGCAGGATTTTAGT